TTAAACTTCCGATGGTATATGAGTTTCTGCATAGTGCACTAATTGTACATACTGCAAGGCAGCATGTGGGAAAAGTTCTCTACTAAATTTGGGTCTGTTTTTTATCACCACTAAACAGCAAGCAAACTGCCTTGCCCAAATGATTCCTTGTAGATTTAAGGAGGCCTTTGTGTAGGGAGTTTCACTGTACAATATTTCTCTCCTGCCCTGAGTAGACTTTGTCTAGGGGGGCGGGATAGAAATCTAATTAATAAATAAATAAATAAATAAATAAATAAATAAATAAATAATAAATAAATAAATAAATAAATACAGAGATAGAAAGTTGATTTCTGGGTACTTTGTACCATTTATTCCCAAAACTGGGACCCCAGATATTCTTGAACTACTGCTAACAGAAGGCTTGAACACTGGCCATGCCAGGTAAAGATTATGGGACTTCAAATTACAGGAAAGAAGATTCTAACTATATGCTAGAAAGAACCCACCCCTACCCCACACCTTCACCCTCAACCCTCATTAAGAAGAGAGTAGGACAATGAGATGGACTGCCTTAGAAGGGGATGGATTGTTGCTTGCTCAAGGTTTTTAAATAGATTCAAATAGCTATACGTCAGGATTGCTTCATCCCATCCAGCTCAACAGTTCTTTGAGAATATGACAAAGCATGGAACCTTGCTATATCTTTATAAACGATAACTTTGAAGCGCTTCATAAGCCAAAAATAATGACTGAAATCCAGTAGCAAGTCACAAGTAAGGTAGGCCAATTGAATCAGTGGGAATTTGGTCAGTCAACACCTATGCAAAGTTCCATAAATTCAATGGATATACTCTTGTTGCAACATATTACTGCTGTAAAGATTTCTATGTTAAAATGAGCGTACAAACTTTTTTAAAAAATCTGAAACATACATTACTAATACAATATGTTCCCTAAAACATCATCTGTTTACCAACAGCAACTTTTGCTTGAGGGTCTCTCTTTTCTATGCTCTGAAAAACCTCATTTATTTACATGAATGGTCAGTATTTTTACACAACAGATATAAAGATACACATCTAAATTACTGAAAGAGGTTTCTTTCTTTCTCCAGATGATTATGTCAAGTCTTGAACTGTTTCTTTGCACTCTGGATTTCTCTTGCACAAAGGGTGCAGTCAGACAAGGATTGGTCCCATGGTTTGTTCTGTTTTGGGGATGGGCTGGTTCATGTATGAGCCATTGTGAACTAGCCAATCCCTGATCAGGACTACCCACACCTTTTAGGGTCTTTGTCAGCAGCTACTCTTTTTGTGGTGCAGATAGAATCATTCCATTTTGGTTCGTTTCCCGCATGTGTAATTGCCAGGGTCAAGCCAAAGCAAATGGCTTGATCTGTTTCTCCTCTTATTTGCTTGTTCGTTTTCCTTTACCTTTAAAGGGAGGAAAGCCCAATAAGTAGCTTGGAGGTGTGATGTGGTTTCCTGCCCTCAAACCACCTGATTCCCCAAGTGATGGACATACACCTCGGAGTGGCCAAGATAAACCAGTCATCTAGTCTCACCCAAAGAAAATCTAACTTTCTGTCATTTCTTTGAGTGAGTTTGTGTCTGTTTGTCCTCAAAGGCCTCTTTCTTGCTGTTTCCAAGAGTGCTGAACGTGTCATTCAATTTCCGTCTCAACCAGTCTGTAAAAACCTTACCACCATCTGTACTGAACTAAAATCATGTTACATGAAACACATCCAACTACACTAGCCTTGCTCATTTGGATTGCAGTGGGCTTATTAAGAAAATATAAAAAATTAAGTTCCTTCCCAGAATCCAAAGAAGTTCCAGTGGATTTCTGGAAAGGTGGCTTCCAGCAGCTAAAGGTCAGTCAGAGGTTCTCTTTGTATCTGAATCACCAGGAAGGAACAAGACGCAACCCTTTGTACAGGTGAACACTGTGTACCTTGCATTCATAACAGAGCTGAGGGTACTGTTTCCCTGAGATACTTGAACTTTATATCTGCCCACAGTGCAAGATGTTTTCAATTCTTAATTGTCCTTCTTAGCAAAAGGTTAAATGAACTGCCTTTAGAAAATATGTCCATGTAAAGGAGTACTAAGTTCAAAACTGATTCCTCCAAATACCCACATTCATGAACATGAGGTTGAATCAGACTATTTGTCCACCTAGACCATTCTTGCTCACTCCGGCAGACAACAACTGCCCCGTATTTCCAGCAAGATTCCTTCCTATCCATTCCTAGCTTTACCTGGAGTTTTCTTGGTGGGCTCCCATCCAGACGCTAACCAGGTCTGGCCCTGCTTATCTTCAAAATCAGGTAAGATCAATTGAGCATGTTCAGTGTAATGCTCTCTCTAATCATGTTACCCCCTTGTTTTGGGGTTCAAAATTAGCCCGCTTCATGTAGTATTATGGAGTCTTATGAGACTTGTTCTCCCATGGGCCAGTTCTACGTCGACATGGTCAGATTTGTTGAGAAGAATCTTCACCCACCAAGCCTTCTCTATACATTCTGCACAATAACGCAGTGTGATGTCCACCCTCGTGCCCCTTGCTTGACCTTCAAGCCCCAGAGTACACAAAGGCAAACACTCTCTTCTTTTACACTTGCTACCACCAGGTGATCTCTAAATCACCATTTACTTCAGAAAGATTCAGGTCCACACTTCAAGTTCTTTTAAATAAAACTTTGGTTTATTGATTACAGAGATTCATAAATATCTTCAGTAGCTAATCACCTTAAATTTCCCAAACTACACACTCTATTACTCTGTCTGGCTTTTTTCTCCTGCCTGATTCTTACATTTTTCTTACTGACTCCATCTCACTTAATCTGCTCTGACTCTCTGACTCCGCCTCTTATAGCATCTCTCTAGGCTCTGCCTCACAGCAATATGAATATTCATAAACCATTACATAATACAACAAGAACCATAGATCTAATAAATGGAGAACGCTACAGGCAGTAATGAGGAAGCATATACAGTGGTGCCTCACATTACGATGTTAATTCATTCCAGCGAAATCGCTGTAGAACGAAAACATCGTAAAGCGAAATTAAAAAGCCCATAGAAACGCATTAAACCTGTTTATTGTGTTCCGATGGGCTTAAAACGCACAGTCCAGCGAAGATCCTCCATAGGGTGGCCATTTTCGCTGCCTGTCTTGCGAGGAATCCATCCCTAAACACAGCGGGGAGCCATTTTATTTACCCGGTGGCCATTTTGAAACCACCGATCAGCTGTTGGAAAATCGTCGTTTTGCGAAGAATCGGTTCCCGAAGCAAGGAACCAGTCATTGCAAAGCGAAATTCCCCAATGGGAAACATTGTTTTGCGATTGCAAAAGCGATCGCAAAAAGCTCATCGTAATGCGATTTTGTCATTAAACGAAGCGATCGTAATGCGAGGCACCACTGTACATGAGGTAGTAGGAGAAGGGATTGTGTCCTTTCGCATCATGGCTGGCTACGTAACATACCCAAATCCTTCCATATACACAAATATCTCTGCAGAACTGCTACAGCAATGAAGGGTTGCCACTGCCATATCTCACGCTTTACCCTGAGGTTTGTACATTGGGGTCTATTCTCCAAGTCTCAGGCTGGAGTCTCTACAGCAGTGGTCCCCAACCTTTTCAGAGTCATGGACCGGTAAGGGGGTGGGGTCTGTGTGCAGGGGGCCCCCGTGCTCGTGGGTGGGCAGGGCATGCTCACACACATTTGCCAAGGGGCGGGGTGCACTTGCAGAGGGATGGGGACTCTCACATGCATGCGCAGAGGGGCAGGGCATGCTTGTGGAGGGGTGTGCTCGTGCGCATGTGTGGAGAGGAGGGGTGTGCTCGTGGGTGGGAGGGGGCACCCGTGCATGCAGGTGGGGTGGGTAGGGGAGTGTGTGTGGGGGGGAGGACAGAAAATCTGTCTCTTCGGCCTGGTCCTGCCATGACCACGGACCGTCACCAGGCCGCGGACCGGGGATTGGGGACCCCTGCTCTACAGTGAGTTCTGCAACACAGAACACCAATTTACAATGGATCCTGACAACCACTCACCTCCATGATGATGGCACAAAGGCTTGCTCCTAGGTCTCAAGGGGTATAAAATGGCATCCATCCCATCTGTAGCCTAAAATAGTTCAGTTCATCCTATCAACTCAAAACTAAGAAATACTATTGTTACTTCATTGACAGTTTATCTAAACTATGTAGGTTCCGTTGGGAGACAGACTTAGGCTAAAGTCACCATGAGAAAAGTTTTCTCAAGGAATTTGGTGGGGTGGATGAAGGCCACATGAGCCCTCAGAGGAGACCCTTGTACAGTCAAAGACTGGACACAAAATGTGGCAGGAAATCCATCCAGAGCCCAAGGACAGAGTGAAGCTACATTCCACACCTGTATCCACTGGGTACCACTTTAAATGTCATTTCATCTTCCTATGGAATTGTAGGCTTTGTAGTTTGCTGAGTGCCTTAGAATTCAGCATTAAACTGTAGCAGTTTGAGTCAACTGTAAATCCCTCGATTCCTTAGCATGGATCCCTGGCTGTTAGTGGCCATAAAAGATTTATTCAAACCCACCCTTATCAAACTTTCATCTCCATTCAGGAGATCATATCAAATTCCCACTCAATTATGAAACTGCCTATCTTTAACACTCTATAAATTAGATTATTTGAACCCCTTCATTCCTGTCATAGAAGAGCAGAAGGGTAAGATGAATTCAGAAATTACAGCATGACTTCAATTAGCACTTAGATACACCCCAGGGTGACATGCTGATAAGAAAGGCTCAGAGTTCTGCATCCATCATCATCTTCTTTATTCATACAAACTCCCTTCCACATTTTGTGCAGGAACCCTTTTACTGTTAGAAATGTTCCCCCACCCTCCACCATTACAAAAAATTGCATCATCAAAGGGTCCTTCACACAATTTGAAGTATTTGCTGAGTAAATGACATTCAGGAGTAAAACAAAGATTCGTTCAAACACACCCTTATCAAGCATCCATCTATGTTCAGGAGATATCGAATTTCCATTCAATTATGAAACTGCCTGTCTTTAACACTCTATAAATTAGATTATTTGAACCCCTTCATTCCTGTCATAGAAGAGCAGAAGGGTAAGATGAATTCAGAAATTACAGCATGACTTCAATTAGCACTTGGCTATCAAGCCTTATCAGCTGAAAACGTTACTCTGGTGATATCTCGTAGTTAGATATTTCTTTGCAACATTGTATATTGCCAATATTCCATTTTGTACCGCTTAGATTGAGAGATTATTATGTCTTTTCCTTTTGGGTGCTATAACTGTTCCAGATGAACATCTTCAGAACATCTTTGAATAGATGAATTTCAATTCCTTAGACTTTGAATTTGAATTCCTTAAGCATTAGGAACCAGCCATTTTCATTATATTTTAGTGGGTAGCATGATTAGTTTTATTGCAAAACTAATGCTGTGCATTTTCCTTTTACAGCTGATCAGAAATGAAGCTGTTGCCCCAGTTACTATATGTGGCAGTAGCAGTAGCCTTTTTTCCTCAGCCCTGCCTTGGACAGGAGAAATGTGGAGGAATTCCAGGACTCCCAGGAACCCCAGGGGCTAATGGGTTACCTGGGAGAGATGGACGTGATGGCATGAAAGGTGATCCAGGACCACCAGGTATACATTTCATATACAGCATCTTGTTTTCTTAGGCTTTGGAGCTCTGATTGCCTTCTGAATGAGTCTAGGCTGGTTCCCTAATGGTCGCCTTTCCACCAGTATGTAAAGTTTTTCCTCCGACAGGTTGTAGACATCTAGCTGTGATTTAATAAAAGGAGTCCATGTTTCTTTTTAGAGATGCTTTGATTTGCACCATTACCTATTTTAATTCAATTGCATTTTTATTTGTATGTTATTGTCACCTAATCTGGATATTATTTTGGGCAGAAAAGTAGAATACATGTTTATTCCGTATATTTAATCCATGTATACGCATATATACATAAAGATAGCTGATTGAGGGCCAATATTTACCAATGCCTGAATTACAGAGCATTCTAAGGGGGTCTCCAGTGTGGTGTAGTGAACAAAGTAATGGACTAGGACTCTGGAAAACAGAGTTCGAATCCCCACTTGGCCATGGAAACTCATTAGGGGACTGAAACTGGTAAATAGACTCTTTAAATATCATACTTACCTTGAAACCCCGGTTAGGGTCTCTCTAACTTGGTTCTGACTTTACAGCAAAGAATACACACATACAAATAAGGGGTTTGAATACCCAGTCTGGGGTAGTGGATAGAGTGATGGACTAGGATTCAGAAGGCCTAGCTTCAAATCTTCACTCACCTATGGAAACTCACTGGGGTTCAGTTCCTTCACCTTGTTTTTTTCCCCTTCACCAACTGGCTAAATTTAAATAAAGCTTTAGGGCTGTGATTTGGCTAAATTTGCTTAAAGTTGTTGGTTTGTTTAAGGACACTTCTGCCCACACTCACACCTCACTTTAGCACAGACTTTTATATAACTGTGGGAGCAAGGAGATGGTTTCTACGTGGTGCTACCTATGCCTTTGTGATCTGAGATTGCCTGGTTAAACAGCTCAAGTGCTGGACATCATTCTCACTCTGGACATCATTAGTACATACAATTGCTGATAATGACTATGTTCCTTGATAGTACAATACGGTTGAATGAGTTGAAGCACAACATTACTTTGTTTGTTAAAGCTGGCTTTAGTGAAAATTGTTTCATCACCACCTTGTGAACAGGGAACATTTTCTCATCCCAGAACAAAAGTGGTTTTAATAATTACAGGAAGAGAGAGAGCAGGAGACAGAGAAGAAAATTACATTTTGTAAATGTATTCATTTATATACTATTTAATCAGAGCTTTTTTTCTTCTTCTTAAGGAGGTTAATACTCTGTTCTTAGCATCCATTTTTGTAGTGGAAAAATGGATTCAAGAGCCCTTTTTATTATTAAAGAAAGGAGTAAACTGACTTTGACAGGCAGGAACAGACGATACTTTTTAAAATATGGGCCGAGCAGTTGAAGAGGTATGCAACAGCATACTGACCTGTGTCCACATGCTAGCTAAATGAGTTGGCTGTTATGTAATCATATTTTCAGGATCAGGTGATTTCTAGATTCCTATCACTTCAGGAATGCACCCAATGTTTCATTTCTATCTCACCATTCCAAGGAGACCTATGTATAGGATTTTAATTGCTCGGACATGTAAAAATTAAAGGCACCTTAGATGCTACCTGCATCATTGAAGTGGTTGTTTATTCCATGTGTTTCATGCTGAGTATTGTGATGAAGACAGAAGAGTATTTTGTAATTCTTCCTCCTTTTGTTTCAGGTCCTATGGGCCCCCCTAATGGTCTGCCAGGTGCTCCTGGAAGAGATGGACTTCCTGGTCCAGAAGGGCCTAGAGGTGAACAAGGAGAAAAGGGGGAAAGGGGGGCTCCTGGACCAGAAGGTAAGAAGGAAATGGGTAGCCCCACATAATTTAAAGACAACCAAAATAGCAGCTTCTTTGCATTATATATACATTACCACATGAGGAAAATAGGCACACAGAAAGAGTGAAATTCCATTATATTTCACCCTTGTTTCATTGGGGAGACAAAATCATGGATGTTTTGTTTTTCTGTCTGTGCATTCTCACTGTTCTTCCAGTTTTCAGAAAAACCCAGAGGCTGTGGGGGCTGGAGCATGGAGGAGAAACATGGGATGTCCTGCTGTATGAATATTCTTCTTCACATTTCATTGCTGGCACATAAATTAGAGAAAGTTCTTGCTTCAGATCCAGTAAAATATGTGACAACATCCCCTCACTTTCAGATTCCTTTAAGAAGATGTTTGACTTCATAGAGGATATACACATAGCACATCTTAAACCACTGGACAGAAGAACTGAGGTGGCTGCCTTAAGTAACAGATGAGAGGTATTGTCAGGGCTGAGGCATACTCTCCTGTTGCCTGAAGTAGGAAGCAAAACACCGTCCCACCACACTGCATGGAGGTTGCCACAAATCCACCACCTCCTAACCATTGTGGCTAGTGTTCTGTGATTTTTCAGTTGCAAGTGGAGTGAGGGGTAATAAGGATTTACATAGTGAAAGGAAACCTTCCAATAAGCAAATAGAAATCCAAAGACTTCCCAAATCCCACACATTATCTCAGCTCTCATTTCCCAATCCAAACCTTTACCTTTACCTTTTTTTTGCGAGTCTTGGACCGAGTACTCCACATTGTAGGTAATAGTGAGAAGAGTCATGATAGAATCTTGGCCTAGTAGAATTTGTTTTGCTGCCAGCTCTTTGTGTCACAGATTTCTACACCGGAGGGGTGGTAGCAACCACCATTTCTGTATCACTGTAGTTTTCTGTGCCCAGCTGATTTAATATTTTGTATTGTAAATTGTGTTTCTGGTGTATTTTCTCTAGTAAATTTTTGAAACGATGATGATGATGATGCTGATGCTGATGCTGATGCTGATGCTGATGCTGATGATAATGATAATGATAATCATAATGATCATAATATAATCATAATCATAATCATAATCATAATAATCATAATCTTAGTAAATTTTCAAAATAATAATGATAATACTAATAAAAAATAATGCTATGCTCGTTCTCTCCCGTGGACTACCAAGGGCTGCTAGCAGGAAGCTGACAACGAGAAAGGAAAGCCACTGGTAGGGGAGCCTTTGCTGCTCTGCCCACCCACTGCAGTGATACACCTGCTCCTAGCAGGAAGCTGACAAGGAGAAAGAAAAGCCACTGGCAGGGGAGCCTTTGCTGCTCTGCCCACCCACCCCCTCCTTGGCTGTTTCATAAAAGCCAGCACTGTTGTTGTTTGACTTTTCAAAATGACTAGGTGGCCTAGAGAGCGAGAAGGTTGCTCCTGTTGCTGATTCTTCTGTTCTTTCATGATGTATTTTGCTTCCACTGCTGGCATCATGGATGCTGTGGCAATGGCAGCTGAGCCCACCCTACTCTACTTTTTCCAGGCTGTTTTGGCCATGGTAGTAGCAATGTGACACGTGTACCACCAGAAGGCCATGAGGAGGTGATGGGACAACAACCATGAGGGCCTTCCGTGCTCTGGTCCATCTGCCTGCTTCTAAAAGCCAGCTGGCAGTAATGGTGGCTTTTAGAAGCAACCAGGAGGTGCAAAGCAGGACAGCAAAGGTTCTCCTGATGGTGGTGGCAGCAGTAAGTACCACAGCAGCAGCAACAAAAACAAATTGCTACGGCAGAGGCGGCACACCCTGGATGCCATTTGAAGAAGGGAAAGACAGGGAGCAGGAATGCCTTCCTACCTTGTCATTCTGCCTGGCTGCTTCTAAAGGTGCTGGCTTTTAAAAGAGTGTATGAAGTGAAGCAGCGATGGCCATGTTGGTGGCAGCTACATGGGGTGGAGGCAAACGGGCAGCAAATATTTTGACATTCTATTTGTCATTGTCCTATTTTACTTCATTTGAATGGAAGCAAAATAATTTTTTTTACTATTTTAACCTGTTAAGTTTTCTGCTTTATGTGCCAGAACACTTACTCCAGCTGATTTTGGCTGTTACGCACCTTGATTTTTTTTTGGGGGGGGGGTTGGGGGAGAATTTGCTTTTGTGCTTCTGGCAGCAAAACTGGCCCAGTTGATGGAACTCATGCTTCATACACTGATATAAATATCAGGTAAAAGAAGGAAACTATGAACAATTTTATAAATGTTTTCTTCCAGTTTGAAACAACAAGAAAAAAGAGGTGTTTTTTTTTAATGCTTTGGGAATAGCATCTGTGATATGTCCTAAAAATATCCCTGGGGAATCCAAAAGTGATTATTAATACATTCAGGATGAACAGATGTGTAACGTAAGGAGGGACAATGCTGAGTATTTATTTATTTATTTATTTATTTATTTATTTATTTATTTATTTATTTATTTATTTATTTATTTGATT